GAGGGGGCGGCGCGGGGCGGGACGCGGGTCCCCGGCGGCCGCGGGCGGAGCGGGCACTGAGCTACGCCTCTGCGAGTACGTTCTCCCGCGGTCGTTACTCGTAGCTCTCGGTCACAAGCCCACCTGGTTCAAGTAATTTTATTTTTCCAACCTGGCGCTGCCTTTTCTACTCAGCGATGACTTCTTCTCATCGCTGGCATCTGTAGTGCAAGGCGAGTTTGCTCGGGTATTTAACGCTAGAAGCTGGCCTTGGCATCCTGCCCTGCGTGTGCGGGGGCCAGCCTGCCCTCCGTCCTGCCCCGGGCTCCGGCATGCTTCTGGGAAAGGCATTTGCCCGTCTGGATGAGAAATATCCCCCCACGCTTTTCACCATAAATCCTATCTTGCTAGGCAAAGTAGTTTTAAAACATCACTGCTGATAAATAGGGGGTGTTTGAAGTCTTGTCTGTTTGTTATGTGTTTGCATGCTAGATAGCGTAACGAGTTTCTGATTCATGGCTGGGGCCCTGAGTGCTGCTGCAATATCATCATAAATAAAACATGGAGCTGGATGAAGTCTGAGTTCCCTTGCTTGCTTCCTGATTTAAAACACCAAGGTCACCTGGGAGGCAGCAATAGCTTCCCCATGCTCTTTGCCTGCGCACTTTCTACTGCTGTGGGGGCCGCCCTGGTCAGAAGCTAGGAAACCTATTTGAGCTTACGTTGGATGCGGCTCCAGCGTCTCTGCTGCCAAGCGCATGAGATGTGTATGATAACATTTACCCCATCTCTAATGTTCTTCAAGAATCGTGGTCGAGAAGCATACTTCAAAACACTGAAGTTGGATGATTCTGAGGTTTCAAGAAGTGCTACTGAAAAGAATGGTCTTGTCTCCCCAGAAGCAAGCAGAGGCATTAAGCTGTAGGTATATTCCTCACCCACACGAATGCCTCTGTCTCTAGAGACAGACACGATAGCACAGTGCCTACATTGCACCTAGGCCCTCGCTTCAGCTGCTCATTTTGCCAGTAGCAAACAGGACTTCTCACCTCTCTCTGATACATTTCCACTCCCTTCAATTTTTTAAATCACCAGCCACACCTCAGTGCCTACCTTCCTGCTCCCTGCTTTCTTTTTAATGAAGCATCTTATTAGGGCTGTGCTAATCAAAGGCACTTGTGGTAAAGCTGGGAGGGAGAGGGAGGTGAAGACAAGAGACAGCAACTATGATCAAATACAACAGTGCTAGGGATGTTCCTTAATTAAGTAAATTTCAGGATTATGCAAGCTGCTGTTCCTGTATTCTTAGGAAAGGAGATATCTTTATGAATCACCATCATTTCTCATTATCAGCCACTGCAAGTGATGTCAAAGAGCAAGTGTAGCATCTTTCCGATAGCACAGAGTTAACAGACAGGTGTTTCTAGTTCTGTCCCTGGAGATCCCAGTGATGAGGGAACACATTTGGGATTTTGCAAACTGTGGCTAGGCTGGGAGCTCAGGCAGCATCTCCTTTGGTCCAGTTGCATTCTGATCACACAAATTCACCTCTCACTGAAAAAAACAGGGTTTTTTTTCTGCTTCTTGATTTGTAATCAACATGAAATTAGTTTACATAATTAAAACACCATTGTTCCAGTTGAGATGTGACCGTATTTCCTCTGATGATGGAAAAGACTTCTATAGCATGCAAATACCTTAATTTCTATTTGCTAGATACTTTGCAATCCTTCCCAGTGAAACTTGCACTAAATCTTAATTGATTTCTGAAGAAGAACACTTTATTGAAAGGCACCAGCGGGACTGAGTGGATACCAGACAACAGAGTTACTGGGGGCTGAACCGGAAGAATTAGTTAGCACATATGTAACCATGAGAGCAATGATGTTCATTAGGGTCTTGGAACTCCTGTTTGACAACTGTCTTTCCTTGTAACAGTGTTTGTAAGATGTCAAGAACACTTCTTTAGCAAAACCACTTCTCTAGCAACACCATATTTAAAAAAAAAAAAAAAAAAAAAAAAAAAAAAAAAAAAAAAGAATCATGTTATGCTTCTGGAGGTTCTGGATGTTCTGCATAACTGTTGTCTCCCATCACAAAAGACACAGTCTTCCTGATTAATGAATGGAAAGCCCTCTCCTGGAAAACCCTCTTGCTTTTCTTACAAATGGTGTGTTACTCCTAAATCAGGTGGTTTGTAGGTGTCCCTGACTGATACGGCTCGTCTGCTGGTCCCTGACTCATTATAAGGACCTCCACATGTCTCATCTTAAGATTTAATGTCTAAAGGAAAGGCTGAATTTGTTAATTCTGGATATTGCAAGGGATTAATGTCATAACATTAAACTCTGCTTCTGCCAAAGCTTAGTCATGAAGACCACCTGAGAGGGGAAAATACTACATTTGATGAGAGCAAAATATGCATCTTGGATTGCTGCACTAAAATTGGAGAAAATGTAGGAAAAATATGCTAGTCCCTGAAGTAAGAAAAAGACCTTTTTTCATGTAAGTCACTCTACAACATGTATAAATCTAGTGTCACGTCACATTTCTCTTTGGTCATGGTTTAGTATAGCTCAGTGAAGCTCACCACCTGAGCAAGGTAAGCTACCAGTTAAGGATCTGGCCCATGATTTTCTGTTAAAAAGAAGATTCTTTTTTATGAACAAACAGAATGTTTTGTAAAACTGCATACAATTTAGTGAAATGTTATTTATTATGTATATATTTAAAATATATATAGATATGTATTGCAATTGAAGGGTACTTGTGTTCTCCATAAGTATCACATATACCAATCTACTTGTTCCATTTCTTTTCCTCGCTACATTTTGGAAGGATTTTCTCTAATTCGTTACGGTTGCAGAAATCCTCATGTAGAACATGTTTTGTGTGTGCCTTGGCTCTGAGAGTCCTTAACAGCGACATTTTAATGGTGTTTGGGGTGTAGAGGCTGTGTTGGAATTAATGGTCCATGTTGGACTCTTTCCTGTAAATTCTGGCATGTTGTTTGCCATTTGGCTGTCTGATAACAGCTACTCCGAGGAGGGCAGTTTGTCTCCTTTTCCTATTCTTAGGCAAAGCAGTGATCATCTTGGATGAATTCTTTACTTGGGAGCAAAGATTGTAGAAAATTTAGATGCGGTATCAAAGAGTATTTAAAGGCTCAGTTTTAATAGCTGTGGCCTTAAATTTTAAAGGCAGGTTATTTATCAAATCTCTGTTCAACTTTCTTAAACAATGTAAACAACTTTTCTTCTTCATTTCAGGAGACACCATTCTCCCACCACAGTGACCTTCCTTGATTTCAAATAGTTTTGTGTGGGATGGAAAACCAGAGACTCTCTTCCACACCAAGGTTGTAAATTATGTCTTGTCTCATTTCCATTAAGCAAACAGAAGTCTTTTCAATTAATTCCATTAGGTTAAGTCCATAGGAAACACACAGAGGATTTTGACAGAGCCTCTAGTTAATATCTTAAAAAAAACCCCACTTCTTCTGACTACCTGTCCTTGAAGGATCAATCCTGCAATCTCAGAACCTCATGACTTAGGATGAAGTGTCATGGGATCTCCCAGCTGCAAATATATCTTGCATAGAGAACATATCTACAATTTTTGAAAAATTATAGCTTTTACAGCTCTTTCAAGACATTTCTAACCAGGCAACTGTCAGCAGATCCATTTTGTGCATGGAGATACTACCTTTATTTATGTTACAAGTTATTTTTGCTTGACCTGGGACAGTCATCACAGTATTTAACTCTAATGTAACAGCAATTTGAAAGTATGGATGTGCTTAAGTCAACTGCATAATAGTGTTCACAAAGCAGTATCTATCCTGTCATCATTCTCTGATCAAGGAAATCAAAATTTGATATTCCAATCTGATTCCCCAGCCAACATGGTGGGACATACCAAGGACATATTTGTTTAAAGTCTGGTCCTTTGGACTGTGCATGTTCAAGAGTGTCTCAAGGGCTGGATCAGGAATCAGCTTTTAAAAAATCTCTAGTTTATGGCTTTCCTGTAGAACCTGGAATTTTGTTACTAATTCTTTAGGACCAGAAGTCTAGTTAAAATTGAATTATCTTTCCCATGCTTTCCAGCTGTATTAATTTATGGTAGCTGTGTGGTGATATTTGCAAGTACATTCTTCTTGTTCATGATAAAAATGCTGACTTCTTCCATACATCTGTGTGTCTTTCTTGCTTCCTTAAGGACATCAGTTTCTTTGGCTGAAACATCCTGTTCAGAGTGTTACAATAGAAGGCTGTAAAACAGTTCGCTTTTAAATTGTTTGCCTTCATGACCCTTAAGCTCTCTGCCAGCTTCTGACTGTGCATGTAAGTAAGCTTTGTACTATTTGTCCTTGGTGTTACATTCACCAAATATGTTTGTTGGTTCTACTGCAGTCTGGTAGCTCCCAATTTGCTTTTCCTTCTTTTTTTGCCCCCCCTTGAAACTGCATCATTACTTTCACTCATGGTCCTAATGAAAAACTAGAATGTAAAGAAAAATAATAAAAAAATTTCAATTGTAAGAAAGCTTCTTCAAATATTAAGAATGGTAGCACTGGGAAATCTCTAGAAAACCAACCAACCAACCAGCCAACCAACATCTAATTGCCTGTACCCTAAAGAAGAGCTACGTCTGTGTGGGGCCATGCAAGCAAAAGAAAGGGAGATGTGTAGGTCCCAGCAGCTGCCTCTTGTGCCAAAGAATTGGTGACTCCTGTTATGCCACTGCAACTGGAAAAGGCTGCTTTTTGCCAGTGGTGTGTCACTTATGGTTCTGCAGACTTTTACATCCCTGATTTGGTCATTAAGTGATGACTGTAATAAGAAGCACTAGAATACAACATTGGTAGCAGGCACAGTGCCATCCTAACAGATTGGGAGATTGTGTCTGTGCTCCAGGACAGACTGTTTTCATTTCTGTGGCTGTGAGGAGTACGTTATCTATCTGGCATCTCCATCTCCAAAACAGGTTAGCTTTTAAAATAACATAAAGGCTGTGAGGGCAGGAATAACCAGGTAGTGATTTATCTGCTTTTCTGGGAAAGTAAAAGAGAATTAAACATCCTGTTCTATCGTAATCTCAGAAAATGTTCCAGGCAATGACCAAAGATTTATACTAGTAGGTCCAAAGCTCCCGTTCCAGTGTTTTTTTCTGAAGCAAAGCTCTTTTTACAGCTTTTGCAGACAGACCCAGTGCCCTTCAATTTTATTTTTTTTAATCAATGCTAACATCTAAAGCTAATGAGAAGAAAATTGGTTTAAGAGGTGATCTGTGCATTTGTAATCTGCACTAGCAGAAGAGTAGCATTATTTCTAAAGTCACTTTAACTCTGCTTATGTTTTAGCCACAATACTATGACTAAGAAGAAAAATGTAGAAAAATCTTCATGTCATGTGAAAGGTAAGCTATTCCTACTGTGTATCCATGCTAGCAGGAAGGCAGAATATTAATGAGAAAGCCTCCTTTAGGGTTGTTTTTCAGATGTGCACAGAACGAGCCGAAGATGAGCTATATTGTTTCTTGATCAAGAGCAATGAATTAATCTTAAAAAATCATAATTTATTCCAAGGATCACAGAAATTTATTATAACAGTGTCCTCATTCTGTATTATGCTGCAGCTTGACAGCGTCTGAAATAATAACCCTCTTATATGTAGATCCTCTTTGATTTCGTTGATGTCATGAGTCAACAGCGCGGGGAGTTGTTTAACATTTGGGACATGTCTCTTTTATGGGTATGATTTGTTTCCAAAAACATAGGTAAGTGCTCCAAGTGGCCTGCTGTATATTGTAGGTTTTGATAGGGCTGAGGAATACTTCCACAGAAATGAGATCTGTTTGAACGTCAGAACTGTATGTAAATTAATTCAACATCATAGAAATGCATAGGAGGAGATAAGTATTTTATATTTATGCTTTGCTTTTCATTGTTGTTTGGTTTCACAGACAAGTGAACTGCATGAAGACAACAGTTTGATTTGCCTGAGATCCCAAAAGTGCAAGAACTGGCATCAGTGACAGAAACTAAGTTTGTTAACTCTTGAATCTAGAGAGAATACAATAAAATGAAAAGCTGGTGCAGTCTGTGCTCATCAGAATTCTTGTGAGACTTCTGCAGGTGTGGCGTATGGTGTGTCCCCGATGCGTGGCATGCTATTCTAGGGGTGACCCGAAATACCTGGGAGGGTCTAGAGAGAGGGAGCTGCAGCAGAAAGCCCACAGTGGGAACGATGTTAATGAGCAGGTTAGAGAACTGCCTGTGATTTTAACATCTGGTTGTGCTGAGCTGTGCCCAACTGCTTCCAGCACAGCCCTGACTGTGGCATTGGTAATTCCAGTGTCCCAACCCAAGGGCTCCCTCCTGGGATCTGCGTGGGGGTTGGATCTTCTCTGTTCTTCAGGGGCTGTAGCTAGCTGTGCCTTCAGTGGCTCTCCTCTCCTCTCCTCTCCTCTCCTCTCCTCTCCTCTCCTCT